ATGCCACTATCATTTTTTTGTTGCTTTATGTATAGTATGTTGATGCGACCGCATACCACATCCACTAGCTAGGGGGTAGACACGAAATAACACTAGAAGAAAACTAGCAAAAATTGAGCATACTAGAAGTTACTAGAAGAATATTTGTGAAAAAATTGAATGATGCCTCTTCCATAAGAATAGCATTGCCAGTGGATTTTATATGGACAAATTCTTTCATTTAAAATATACTGCCAATGCTTTGCTTATGGAGTTCAAATGTTTTGTTTACAAAAAGTACCGTTAATCCTTCCATAAGAAATCCATTGGCAATGTTATACTTATGGAAGAAGCAATGGTACGATACTAGAAATACTAGCAGAATATTTGCGTTTCTGCTTGTATACTAGAAAAACTAGAAGAAACTAAACGCATATTTGAACCGATTTGAACAAACTAGCTATACTAGAAATTGGTGTCTAACCCCTAGTCCACTCTCTAACCCCTAGTCCACACAGTACGTCGTCTGTTTAGCTGTTTCGGTGATTTATCTACGTCGCTTTACATATTGCCCCTTCAAAACCATAATAAAATAAAACCATAACAGTTTTTATCAATGAAGAGAGTCAATCAAGATTATATTGTTCAATTTACTGTTCTTCGTATTAGTTATTTTCTTCTTCTTGTCGCTCATATTCATCTCCTTCTTTTTTGTCGGTTGTTATCGTTGCTTCGTCTGTGCTTTGTTTTCTCAGCATCTTAACTTCGATGAAATACATGAATTTCGTTTGATATGCTTTTGCGATCCATTTGCGCGCGCGCGTCCGTCGTGCACACAGACAACACCACCACCACCACCACCACCACCACCATCACCATTCATAGACATACACATGCAAGCCAAATCAATTGGCGATATGGTTTTTATCTAGCAATACATTTTGATGTTATGCATCATTTGCGCCATTCTTATGGTTATTTTCGGTTTATATTCCATTTCGATTTTCCGTTTTTATCTTCGCAGTTCGCCTGGCACATCATCATTTGCATTAGTCGTAATGCCATAGTATAAAATCCACAACGCGTCGCAATCATATTATTAGTCTGTTTCATTCACATTTGCTCTTTTATCTGCAAAAACTACTGCGACATTTATAGCGAAATAATCAGTTCAATGCGTTACATTAGTTAGATAGATATATATATTTTATCACGAGCAAAAGAAGAAAACCACTCTGATCTTTTATCCATTAATATATATTTTCCGAGAGAATGAAATGCCATTCACCTTAATTATTTATTGGTCGTCCTGATAGAGGAGCAGAAAACGTGTTTGATAGAGGAGCAGAAAACGAGCACACTCACTCACTCACTGACACACAGAAAGCATTGAAAGCAGTTTCTCGATGACCTTCTATCACTTTATCTGTAGCGTTTCAACTAGGACTGTATTTTTTCACACACTCTCTCTCTCTCTCTTTTTCTGTCTTGCTTTTGTTTCGATTTCTCTTTTAAGTCACCAGATTTTCCTCTTGTTTTTCGTTTTCAATTCGAACCAAATAACACAAAAGGCTATCTTATTTTGCCGTTTCGGTTTGGATTTTTTTTGAAAAGATTAACAAAATAAAACAAAACAAATAAATTAGACACAACAAAAAACAACCATTTGCTAAATCAAACCAAAAACAAATCTCTCTCTCTCTCTCTCTCTCTCTCTCTACATTGTTCTTTTTGACACAGACAACAAGAAAACAAAATAGCTAATGAGAAAAAGCACTCTACCGCCGATAATAGCGCATCAACCAAAGACAACGATTTGAAAGTGCAGAGGTATTGCGTCGATCATAGTTCTTCTTCCTCTTCTACCACTACTAGCACTACTACTTCTAGCCGACTTACTTCTAAACAATCTGAAATGTGAATATTCCACACCGTATATAAACACTAAACAACATGTTTTTTTTCTCTTTTCCTCACACTGTCTTGAACCGGTTGTGTTTTTTTTTTACATCTATTTGGATTGTATATTGAATGTGTTTTTCTTCCTTCCGTTTTATAATTTCCGTGTGTTTTTCTTAGGAGTTGTTTTAAATTTTTTTTTGTATTCGACTCACCTCTAATTGGATGAGTCGATGTTTAGCTTCCCTTTAGATTGTGAATATATTTAGATTTTATAACAACAACGAAATCGTTGAAAAGTATTAAGACGTCAATGGCAATGTTAATAATATTTTGTTCCTGATTTGATTCAAGCATGTTTCAGTGTAAAAGTTTCTATTTTGAAATACTTTTTTCAATTCACAACTTCTTCCGAACCCCGGAACTCTTTCGCTCGCCTCCCATTGTGAAAACTCAGAATGGTGATAACGTGTATGTGTACGTATTTGTGCTTTACAAGCAAAATATCAAATATCTCGTTATCAAACCATTTTGATTCAATGGAAAATATGTAAAGAAACGACAATAGACGGTAGAGAACTTGTAAGTTTAAGAAATTGGAGTTTCCTGTATGAAAATTGTATTCAATCTTTTTTACTTCCATTTTCTTTCCGAAGAAAAAGCTTAGCTAGTTTCTCTATAGTTCCGATCGACATGTAACCGTTTTTTTAAATATAGTTTAGCCGTATATTTTCTTGAACATTTCTCTCTGTATGTTATTTTAATAGAATATATACTATCTCTTTGTATCTTTTGATGTGTGCTCTACCTTCATCTTCACCTCCACCTCCTCCTCAAATTCTATACCATAATTTAGATACGTATCTCAATCTTCAATCATACACATTCTATGCTTCATGAACATTGAATAAAAAATACACACTTTGTGTGTTCTCCGCCTGATGTTCCAATCATAATAATAGCGTTTAATTGTAATCTGTGACATTTATCCACCTCAAGGATAGTTAATCATAATAAACAGTAACATACGTAGGTCACTCCGATAAGCAATCACAATGGCACAAAAACAAGAATACATTTATTGAAATACTGTCAATCGAATAATGCTGGCCATTGTGTCTGTGTACAGTGTTAATAGAGAATGTAGCGTAAAATGTATATAAATCCTGAATCGTATAAATGGTCGAAATCGGTAGATGCGATTTGTTTTTCTTTCAATTCGAATCAAGAATGTACGACAATATTTTGATTCCAACTGAGTTGAGAGCATATCGTTCATTGCATTCCATGTACGTTAGAATCATGTTCAAGAAGATTAAGTACTTAACAAGTGTGTTTATGTTTTTGGTAGATTTGTAAATCATAGCCGCCGTTTGTGATTGTGAACCACCACAAAAGTCGAAATAATTTCAGCAACTGTGACTGTGCTGTTCAGTTTTGGAAATGAGAAAATGTATCTTGAAGAAACCGATTTGTACATGATTTTCATCGCATGCTTCAAGCATTAATTTTCCTCAGAAACATGACGCTGAGCGAGTGTTTGTACCAGATAAAATCTACATTCACCGAAAAACAGTATAAATTCAAATGATTCCGTGTCACCGGAATCGTGATAAAATGTATAGAAAAATACGTCGGAAGGCATTGCTGTGCAAATTGTTTATAATAGCTGTAGATCAATTTTGTCGAAGAGTAACAACAAATACAACTAAAGCGTAAATTGATGAATTTACATGGATCGAAAGAAGAAATACCATCATAATATTTCTGCCATCACGTATGCGTTGTTTAACAAAGTTTCTTGTATATTTAGTTTACTTAACTCAATTATTGTAACGTAATGTAATGTAGTGTGCTGTGAGAGCCTCTCCAAAACAAAACAGAAAAAAAATCATGATCGAGAAAACAACGTTGTAGTTAAACACAATCCCATATATACATGTATAGAGGTTAGCATGGTATTTAAACCTCTATCTAAGATTGATTGAGATTTTCTTTTTCCACTTCATCTGTTTGCTGTATTTTTTGTATCCCCATCTAAGTAAAGAAAAAGTCGTGTTTTTGTTCTATCTCTCTACTCTATCTGTCCACCCTCTCTATCTCTCTCTCTCTCTCTCTCTCTCTCTCTTTCTCTCTCAATAGCATCATTAGTCAATGTTTTCACTGTATATCATCTTTTCTTGTTGCATCCCTTTTCCAAACAAACCAAATAATAAACGTAAGACGACAAAAAATAAGTATCATTCCGTCACTCACACACAAAACAGTTTCCAGTCACTGACGATGATGATACACACACACACACACCGTATTTATGTATATTTTTCTTAATTGTTTGCCTGAACTAGCGTTGCAAAATAATAACAACAACAAAATAACCCCGTATTACAATCATCCTTATGACAAGTTCGCGTAAGAATTATCCAATTTCTTTTCATTTGTTGTTGTTGCTGTTGCTGTTGCTGTTATTTCGTTGTTAGAGTATGAAATGAACAAAATAAAACATCCATCTCATTGGAGACTTATATTTGTACTGTAACTTTTAACTTGTTAGTGTGTGTGCGTGAAACGATGTTGGTATAATAATAATAATAGTCATTTTGTTTTATTTTTCTTTGAATATGGTCGTTTTTGTATTTTCCCTCCCTCCAAACCATTCCATTTTTATAGCTACGGCTTTTATGTTGTCTTGTCGTTTCCTTAACTTGTTGCTGCGGATGGTGTGTGTTATCATTTTGTTGTTCATAGCATTTCAATTTCTCACATTCCTAGACTCAACATCTAGTTTTGGTTTTTAGTTTTTCTTTGTTTCCTTCTATTCCATTGCCCCATATTCTGTCGAAACAAATCCACAAAAACAGTTGTAAATAATGATCCGAACAAATGTTACCGTTTACGACATATAATGCGTGAAGCTAATCAAATATTTCTTTTTTATACCTCGCTCCATTCATATATCACAATGTGAATGTGTGTGTGTGCGTTTTTGCCAATGTTGCGAAATAAAACGCACGTTTTGCCGGAACAATGCGATTTCGTCATGCTGTGTTAACGTCATTCCCTCGTTTGTTTTGCCGCAACTCTGCGTCTCGTCTCGCCCCGCCACACTGTTCGACAAATAGACGTCTTGCCGACGAAGATGATGAGCTATCAGAAGTGCAACCGGATGCCGTACCACCCGAGGTTCGGGAATGGTTGGCATCCACATTCACACGACAACTAGTCACAACACGAAAGCGCACCGAGGAAAAGCCCAAATTTCGTACGGTCGCACATGCAATACGTGCTGGTATATTTGTTGATCGAATCTATCGACGGGTGTCCAGCACAGCGATGTTACAGTTCCCAACTGAAGTGGTGAAAGTTTTGAAGGTGGGTATTACCTGTATTTCCACATTTATAATGTGAAAATAAATGAAACGATAGTGACATAATTGTATTTTTCTGCGGGAAAACCATAATCAATCATAATTTAGTGACAAAATTTGATAAATTACCCGTTTGACTTTTTTTTCTTTCCTCATTCCCTTTCTCTCTCTCTCTCTCTCTCTCTCTCTCTCTCTCTCTCTCTCTCTTAGACATTAGACGATTGGTCATTCGATCAATTCGCCTTGGCAACGGCGACAAATGGCCAACCAATCAAATATTTAGGCTACGATCTATTGAATCGCTATGGAATTATACACAAATTCAAAGTGTCGCCGACGGTGTTAGAGCAATTTTTAGTGAAAATTGAAGAGGGCTATTGTCGCTATCAAAATCCCTATCACAATAATTTGCATGCGGCCGATGTGGCCCAAACGATACATTACATGCTGTGCCAAACGGGTGTGATGCACTATTTGACCGATTTGGAGATATTTGCCATATTGATAGCCGCACTGATTCATGACTACGAACACACTGGCACAACAAATAGCTTTCACATAAACACCGGCTCCGACATGGCAATGCTGTACAATGATCGTGCTGTGCTGGAAAATCATCATGCCAGCGCCGCATTCCGTATGCTCAAAGAGGATGAATACAATATTTTCAGTAACTTATCGCGTGAAGAATACAAAGAGATTCGTAATTTGGTCATCGATATGGTCATTTCGACCGATATGTCATTTCACAATCAACAATTGAAAAATATGAAATCGCTCATTGCGATTGCCTCGTCCGATACGCACTACAATAAAACCAATGTTGACTTGAAATTCAAAGCTCTGTCATTTATATTGCATTGTTGTGATATTTCGCATCCGGCGAAAAAGTGGGAGATCCACCATCGATGGACAATGCTGTTAATTGAAGAGTTCTTTCGACAAGGCGATTTGGAGCGTGAACTTGGGCTGGACATTAGTCCGTTGTGCGATCGCAACAGTACCGTTATACCGAAATCACAAATCGTTTTCATTGAAGTTATCGTTGAACCAAGTTTGGCGGTTTGTGCTGATTTGCTTGAGCTCATTTTAACGCCAATCGCATCGCAATCGGGAAGCAAAACGGACAACACCATTGCCGAAGAATCGCAAAAATCTAGCAGCCCGGCAACATCAACTGATACCCAAAATCCATCGCAACCGCAAAGAATTTTCATCAAAAAACCCTGGATTGCCTGCATGAAAGAGAATAAACGCATCTGGAAGGAACAAGAAGCAGCAGGTAAATAAAAAGAATTTTGTTTGGTTTTTCTGTTTTGCTTCCAGTTTTCAGCATTTCTTGTTTTTGTTTGCAATTTCACAAAATTTTAATTGCTTGTTATTACGAGCGCAGAGCCATCAAGTCAGCCTTCACTATCGACTGAGGAACAGAACGATCCAGATGCCAATTTAGAAAGGCCTTCATCATCTTAGATTTCAACTTAAAACAACAACAACAACTTTATTCAACTTTTATATGTTATTTTTACATCTATTCTAGGAATTACTGAAAATTTGTTGAAAAAAAAAGAACCGAAAACTTTTCACAAATTAAAAGGGAAAATAAAACTTGTTTGTGCTTTCAATTTACACACTGTCACTTAAGCTTAGGGAAAGCAGAAATAGAAATCCCACAATCAACGCAACTATGCATCCATTGAACGTTTTTGTTTTGGAATAGTAAATTTGCGAATTGAAGCACATATTCACTCAAACACACACAAAACAACACATATTTTAAATAACAAAATACTCTCCCTTACCTATCTCTCTTTTTGAAACGGAAGTAACGGCATAACATATGTTCCATTTTTTTTTATTCAGACGGCAATTGATTTTGCAAAGAAGAAGATTGAAAAAGAAGTGGACAATTTACACATCCTTGCATATTGTATATCCTAAGAACTTAATTTTTAATTGAAAAATTGCCCTTAGATTTCATATCATTCCAAAAAAAAAACAAAATCTCTTGAATAAGTATCTAAAACACATTCGAACCAGCGAATTTATTATAAAAATATCCATATGTTCTATTTTCAAAATAAAATCACAGTGTTAAGAAGAGATTGCAAGCGTTCTTTTTGTTTTCGTTTTATTTACTGTTTTTTTGTCTCTTTCTCTCTCAGTTTTTTTTTTTGACACATTATAATTTCAACCATTTTGGTGGAGCAATACAAAAGTTTCACTCATATTTCCAATGGGACATTTATTTATTAACTTTTTTAACATATTTTCCGGTTTGGAAATTAGATCGAAACGGAAAAAAATAGTGACCAAATATAATTGAGCTTATCCTCTCTAAATAAGTGCAGAACATATAGGAGCATTTTGGAGAAACAAATCTATCGACTATGAAACGAGTTGGCCCAATTTTGACATAGTTTTCCCTCTTTCAGTTTTGTTCCATATTTTCACCATGCACTCGGTTTGCGTACATCATTTTACAAATGCCACTTTTGACATGTAGAGATTTGAACGTATTTAAAAGTATAAACAGTTGTTGGGAATGGAATTGAATCAAGAGGGAAAAAGTTAGAGAAATGTCGGAAAAGCTTTTAATTAGCTAATGTATTGCATTTTGTCGGAATTGCATAAGTAAATAGGAATAATTTTTGGAGCACCAGGTGCAGTAGCAGTGACCACTGACCACTGACCACATGGGATTTGATTCTGAATTGGAATATACAAATTTTCCTGATTCATTGGAACTTTTTACATTTTGAATGGCATTTTATTTGATTTAACATTAATGTCCAATGCTTCGTTCGTGGCATTTTCATAGAAACAAACAGAAATGAACAAAAAATGTTGTTCCTCAAACTCCTTATGAAGCAGTTCCACTTCATATACTATATAAAGTGCTAACCTTCTCCCATCCAATTTCAAAGTGAAAAAGAATTGTTGTTTATTTTACAATCGATTTTATTCAAACATAAATAACCTAATCAAGGTATCATTAATTTTCATTTGAAAGTTCAAGCTCAAATAAATGAAAGCGTAAAAGAGAATGAGAAAAGGAAAATATCAGTATTCTATTTTCTTGATACAACCACTCGGAGCATCGTGTCTCACATTTCTCTCGTTGGTTCGAATGAATGGCGAAAGCACAGAGACTGACGACGACCAGATGGAAGCGTAGCATAACATAACTCATTAAATAACGACGGCCAAAAAATGTTGAGCGATTCGGTTGGAAACTGGCTCAAAATTCAAATTCTGCGGTTGGCTCTATGGATATTTTCATCCGGGTAAAAGTTGCCATAACTAGGTTGTGTTTGTTGAACGTAGACCATCACGCGTAAAGAGAAAAGTTTTCGGTTTTTCGAGTGTGCTCATAGTTGCCATGTTGAAGAGGTGTGCATTTCGGTTTGGCAAAATAGAGCGCTTTTTCGTTGGCTGAGTTAATGTTTTGAACAGTTGAACTGACAGCAGCAAAGCCACGAATTATTGTGTGAACGATATGACATTATTACACAGCCAATTACACACAGATATACCGACCCACAGACGCATATGCTGATCTCATTGAAATCGTTTCCCACAGCAATCCGAAAATTCGACGAATCCTACCAAACAACAAGAAAAGACATTAAATTAATGAGAGCTGATTTAAAAAATGCGATAACTTTTGCCAGCAGTTTTCAGGCGCAACTTTCTCTCTACCTGCCATCATTCAAAGTTACACACAGAGTCAATGTGTGGTGAAAACAAAAACAGGTGCAAAAGAAAGTAAATATTTCGGTATTTTTCGAGTAGAGACGAAAAAAAACCACCCACAATTGGAAATGAGAGTGTGAATATGCGCTTTAACAGAAGGACCACTGGAAAATAATTAATTTGTTTCCGTATGTTTCGTTTGCAATGTCAGAAGCGCTCTTCATTTTTGAAACTACAAACAATTTTCTGATTCAATTTTCACGAACTCATTTTGAACACGATTGCAGCGCACATGACACACGACATATAAATAACGAATTCATATTCAGCACCAATGGAATTTTTAACGGAATGCGCTGACTAAAAAAAGAACTACAGTCATTTTTCTCTCCCAACCTTATGAAATATTTTAGGATTTCGAAACGGAGGGTTGGTTTTTGTCTTTCGCAAAATGTGCGCGCGTTCGTAAATTCCTTTCTCTGGAAAATAAACTTTCTGACAAACATCTCTGCTCGACAGAGGACGAATATTACAGAAAAATCTGCACCGATGTTATGCATGTCATTCAATTTTGTGAAAGTCATTGAAAATTCGAATTTAAATGAATTTTTCACATTCAAGTTTTAAGTATTTTCACTTAAGACGCAGTTTTCCCAACAACAGTCGGTGTGCATAACGACACAGAGTACGAACGGAATTGAATTCGAGAATCTCGAATCGAGATATTGCAAATAATTTCTTTGTAGAATCAAACATATGCATGTCGCTGACATTATGCACACGGAATATAAATGGTAGCGATTACAGAATGGGCACGAATGAATGAAAGAGAGACATAAAGCGCTGAAACAAACTGACATCTGCTGATTTGAAAAAGTGTCGAAACCATTTGCAAATAACAGCGAAAAACTATTTTCACACCAAAAAAAAGTGTAAATGAAATGTGCGGTATTATGCTGTTTTCTGTGTTTATTCTCGTGAATATTTTATCTCATATTCTGCTTTTTCTTTGCTTTACATCGCTCTTACACTCTTTGTCTCTTCCCTCGCGCACTTTTCTCTTCGTCAGCGTGGCGAATGGATGCGCCACCAAATACATAGCGAAAACGTGAGCTAGTTTAAACATCTAGTGCGCTGTACAACTTTAATGGCGATTAACTTTTTCGCGCGTACATATTTTATTCGCGCAAAATTGAATTGGCGGATATCCTTTTATATGCACGATTCACAGCCATATTTTCACTTGAATTATACCACAAATTCGATGAGAAAAAAACCAGCATGACAAAGAATGAAACGAGAGAACCGAAAAAGAAAAGAAAAACGAAATCATGGATAGCAAAAGCTTCGTGAGATTATAATATTCGGTGGGGTTGGATTTTGTGTTCGCGACGTTCGACAACAGCAAATTCAGCATAACTCCGACTTGATTTAAACTTTATTCAAGCACATAATCAAACATTTTCTAAGATATTATATCCATAAAATATCCTGGCAATTTTCCTATTCTGCTTTTGTCACACACACACACAACGTACGTCTATTCAAATCAAACGGTTTAAATGATTTATTGCAATTTCCTTGAAATTTTTTCACAAAAAAAAATTATTGTACGGTGACAGCACACAGCGGGACCCAGAAAGTCTAAAAGGAAATATCCATGTATCCATTTTTCATTTGATTCCAATGTGCCCAGCGAAAGCTAATCCCAAAATGATGATAGTTTGGTAACTTGAACACATTGGCCGTATTGATTAATCGTCTCGACCAAATACTTGACAGTTTCACCAAATTCACCCGGTTCAGTCTTCCGAAACACATACACTCTCTGTCTATCTCTCTCTCTCTGTCTATATCCATCTGCTTGAATTGAATTGGAGAATTGATTTAAATTACGGTGCGAAAACTTTGAAACTCACTTAATCAACCTCTTACATTGCTTATGAAATGGATTTCGAATGAAGGGATTGGTCGCACTGAGTTCCTTACAATAATAATGATTTTAGAAAATCGATCACAGTTAAAAACAAAATACGGGAATTATATGCCACATTTATTTTCTGTCTTGCAGTATTTTATTCAATTCTATCCAAACAACAAAATAAAGCTCTTATGACAACAGACATTGTTCACAAACTAAAATATATGGTGGTATTTTGATAAAAACCTATACGAAACAAAATATTGAAGATAATATATTTATACTATATTAAAGTATGTAACAAAACGAAAATCCAATGGGGGCCATTTCATGAATGCAAAATTTTCATATTTCTCCCCAATTTGCTTTGAATCTTTGCAAAACAAAATTATCATTTATCGAATTTTCGCTTGAATTTTGTCATTTAAATCAATGTTCTCTCAACCACTTCTCTCTACTATTTTTGAAATGAGCTCCGAATCCAATTCCAATTCCGTCTGTAATATAATTTTCTCTCTCTTATTACATTAACCTCCTTCCGAAATCCACATTCTACGTATCCAGTTTTGTCATCTTCTGAAGAAAATGGCACTCCTTAGAATTTCAAATGTTAGCTTTGTTTTAGGTAAACGTGCACTCTAGACACAAACACACTTACAGATATTTTCAGTGCGTATATTATTTTTGAAGATGGTATCATACATACTCAATACAAACGCATAACATTAGGCTGCATAAAATCAGTAAAAATATAAAATAGATGGAATACACAGAATGTCTAATGGATAATAATCCATTGATAGTAAAAATAATCAGAATCAATACTCCAATATCGCGCGCCTTTCTGCTTGTACTCTTTTCTTTCTCTCTCTCTAACTCTCTCTTGGCTCAACACTTGGAGTAGAACAGCAGAAGGCATATAACGTTTGAGCCCCATGTAAAATACATTGTTTAAATAAACATTAGCCACAACGTACAAGTTAATAGTGTGTAACAGAAGTGGTGCATTTAAAGTTTAAATCTATTGGGAATTTATCTCGTAGCATAGTATAAATTTTCGTGCGGGATTTCAGGCGATGGTTATTTTCAGTTCAAACAGCAAAAAAAGGGAGGAAAAACAACGGAACACCTTTGTGGTCGTTGAAAATTATGCGGAATTTAAAGTGCTGAGATTGTTCATTTGCTTAGTTTTGAATTACTTCCAAGCTAAAGCGGAAGATCCCAATCCGGTGAATCGATTTGATTCAATGCATTGAGATTTGACCACACCGAATAGTGATTTGCAGCCTAATACGAACGTAACTTTTGTCCAATTTATCATTCGGTTCTGCTTAGGAATTTTCCCTTCAAATATGACATCTAACAAGCCTAGTTCAGTAAATGAAACAAGAAGAATAAACAAATCATGCACTTGAGTATTTAATGTAAAAGATAAGCACTTTTTGTTTGGAATTTTTCATTAGATTTTTGTTCATTTTCTCGTCTGAT